AGGGGGCTTGGGGGGGGGGTGGCCGCACCCGCCGGATACTAGGGGCTTGTCCTTGTACATGACTAGGCCTTTTTCTTCTCGCAGCCCCCCCTCCCCCCAGAAAAAAAAAATGTTCTGATTTTTCACACGTATCATCATCCCAGGTGCACTGCACCACAGTAGCCTCTTCCCTTTTCTTTGCTACAGAGTGGGCAATACTTTTTGATGGGGGAGGGAACACTCCAATAACTTGGTAAGTGGTCAGGGGCTGCACTTTTCTATTATATTAATGGAGTGGGGGGAGGGTGTCCTGGGATGAGTATAGGAGGGAGCTCTAGGTAAGGGATTCAGGTACAGGATAGGGATGTAAGTGAGGAGTCAACTATTTGCATTTTCCTCCCCCTACCCCACTTCTTGCTGCCTCAATCAGAAGCAGCAAGGGTGGGGAGGAAGCAGGAGCTAGTGCTGGGGGAACTGTCTTAAAAGCTCTCCCAACACTGTGTCCCCGGCACTGCTGCCTCCATCAAGGAGCATGCCACACGGAGACACACATGCTAGCCCCAGCAACCATTCACTTTAAGCAACATTGCCCGAGTGTCCTGTTAGGGCACAGGATTTAGCCCAGAGTGTCATGGTAGGCCAGATCCAGCAGGCTGTATTTTGTCCACCCCTGCTTTACAGGAATAAACTGTGCAGCTGTGTCTAAACTGGCAAGTTTTTCCGCAAAAGCAGCTGCTTTTGCAGAAAAACTTGCCAGCTGTCTACACTGGCTGCTTGAATTTCCACAAGAACACTGACGATCTCATGTCAGAAATCAGTGCTTCTTGATGAAATACTATGCAGCTCCCGTTTGGGCAAAAGTCCTTTTGCGCAAAAGGGCCAGTGTAGACAGCTCAGATTTATTTTGTACAAAAAAGCCCCGATTACGAAAATGGTGATCGGGGCTTTTTTGTGCAAAACCGCATCTAGATTGGCATGGACGCTTTTCCGCAGTCCCAATCTAGACACACTTTTCCACAAATGCTTTTAAAGGAAAACTTTTCCATTAAAAGCATTTGCGGAAAATCATGCCAGTCTAGACGTAGCCTGCTGGTATAAGCACCTGGGTATAACTGAGTCCACAGTCAGGGAGTAAGGGGTAGATATATTCCACTCTTACTACACCAATGTACAGGCAGTCCCCGGGTTACGCGGATCCGACTTATGTCGGATCCGTACTTATGAATGGGGCTTTTCTCGCCCCGGAGGACATGGGTGGCGGGACCACCCAGACACGCCGTGGTCCCGCCGCCCGGGTCCTCAGTGGCTTTGCTCCGCGTCTCCCTGGTCTGCTGGGGGGACCCCAGCCCCCATGCCAGAAGTGGCAACAGTGGGGGAGGCACCCCGCATCTCGGCGGTCTGCTGGGGGGGGGGGGGCACAGCTAGTGCGGGGGTG